GGTTTATATGTTTCTGGGAAGAAGTACAGTCAATATATTTCATTTTGAAAATAGATCTCTTGTAACCCAAGTACATATACTTCCTTAATTTAATTTTATAAATGTGTCCTAATTATTACCATACAAACGCTCACCATTTTAGGTCTTAATTCTTCAAATTCCCCCCCATTCATACACACTCCTTAAGCCTCTGTGTGGTACTAAGGCAGCTTAGCATTACGGGTGGAGGGATAAAAAAAGCATACCAGTAAAACATGGGAGAAAGAAAATGTGAGATGATGTAATGTGGCATTTGTTCAGGATGGTCTGCCTGACCCAGTTGTGGCTTCACCACCCGTTCAGATTCCTCACTAGTCATGAATGATACATCCATCCCCAATTTTTTTTACCACCACCACACCCTACTGTTTTCTCTATGTATACTTATAGTTGTTCCAATTTATAAGAGGATGTGTTCTAAAATCTAGGTACCCTTGATTAGAGATTCAGCAGACCGTTAATAAAGTAGTTTTGTACCATATTAATGACCTGAAAAAAAACCTCTTGATCAATACAGATGAAGCGTTCTTCCTACCACAAATACACTCTAAGTTAATTCAGGCCATCCGCTTTCTCCCAAACCTCAGAAAATAGATGAGCTGTTCAAGAGCAGACCAAGGTTGGAGGTGAGGCCCAGAGTTCAAGACACAAAAATGCCCTGCCACTAATGGCTTTTATTTGATCATCTACCCGATAATAACTGATCTGGTATCCTGTGAGGATAGTGGTGGCTCACTACTACAACCAGAATCCAAACCAGATTAGAATCAACATTTTAAGTCTCACTGAGAATTGAATGGCAGCTAAAGCAGATCCCAGGTATAAGTGTGCGCTTTGTGTGAAATACTGCTTAACAAATGAGCCACTGAATTCTGCACCAGATAGTTTCCTAATAGCATTAATATGTAGACTCACATAGCATTATCCGTCCTGGAGATGATAAAGGGCTGGCAAGGTACACATTCAAAAGGAAAGGTCATGACTTCTTGCTGAGTGCAAAGGAAAGCAGTAACAATGGCTGCTCATTATCTGGACACCCAGAAACTCATGTTCTGCTTGTGTTTTCCCATCTTATGCACCAGTCTTCTATTATACGCTCATAAATGGTTGACTGAATTAGCAGAACTGGATGAAATAGATACAGAGAAGAGAATTAATTGCACAGGGAACATGCCATAGTCCATATTCATCACAAATCCTCCTCAGTCCTATAAAACCTTTTGAACAAGAGGATTAACAGAACAGAGTTCTGTGGAATCCTGCATGAAAGCATCCTCTGGGTAGATGAGCAAGTGCCCAAAACTACCCTCCAGCTACTTTCTGAAAGATCCAACTTCATCTACTGCTACTAGGGTCTCTAGGGGGAGGGTTAGCTCAGTGGTTTGAGCTTTGACCTGCTAAACCCAGTGTTGCAAGCTCAATCCTTGAGGGAGCCATTTAGGGATCTGGCGCAAATCTGTCAGGGATGGTACTCGGTCCTACAGTGAGAGCAGGGGACTGGACTCAATGACCTCTCAACATCCCCTCCCGCTCCATGAGATGGTATATCTCCATCACCAGTTTCATAGGCAACTAAAGCATCTTAAAGCATTAGCAAGAACATCTCATTCACATCAGGAAATCAACTAATGACAAGTTCTAAAGGGGAGGCCATAGGTGAGGGACCTCCACTATCCTTTTACATTAGCACTGACTGTTTTGGAGTCTCATTTCCCAGCACACGTGGAGTTCTCCATGAGATGGTATATCTCCATCACCAGTTTCATAGGCAACTAAAGCATCTTAAAGCATTAGCAAGAACATCTCATTCACATCAGGAAATCAACTAATGACAAGTTCTAAAGGGGAGGCCATAGGTGAGGGACCTCCACTATCCTTTTACATTAGCACTGACTGTTTTGGAGTCTCATTTCCCAGCACACGTGGAGTTCATGCAG